GAGCAAAGATATGGTATATAGTTTTTTTTTTAAATGTTCTACTGCAAAGGTTATATCCTTTGTTTTGGTTTTTGAATTTTTTAACGTGTTACTGAAGTAATGATAATTTTTTTTAGCATATTAATAATGATTAAAAAAAAAGTTTAGTCCAATAATTCCAATCACCTTTTATTTCTTTTTCTTTGGAACTAAAAAAGTAATGATACTTTAGATGTATAATTGTTTGAAAATAATAAACTATTGTGAAATAATTTGCAGCGTTTTTTTTTTTTTTTAGTGTTATATGCTATCTAAATATTTGGTGTGATTTGATCACTGGGCGCCAAATAATAATACACTCGACAAGAACTAAAACTTATTAAATAACTATCGATTTATAGGATACGGTCAACCACGAGCTTCACAGTTTGCGAACTGTGTTCCAATCGACCAAGTTTTCAACAATGGCGAGATAGTGTCATTGACTTCGTTTCAAGGGGCTGGGATCCTAGCTGGTAGAAATATAAATCAAGATTGAACTTTTGGATAAATATCTGAAATAAGACAACTCTTTTTCAAGGTATAGTTCAAAAACTCATTTTAAATTCAGTGATTTCTTGTTATTTTCACTTCTCTATAAATTTAATATACAGCAAGAGAAAGTATTGCGATCGTGAAAATTTTCGATTAATGCAATCTTCCTACCTTCGCTTCGGTCTGCCCCTCGAAAATTTTATAATTGCTCAACACTGCCAGAAAATAATTTCTATTTAAAGTAGCAAGATAAATGAAAATTATGTTTTGCGCGCACCAGATTTGTTTTTCTTTTGCCATAACAGATCTTGCAGATCCTTAACAAACTTCCTCCATCTCAGCCTATCTTTGGCTATTTCTTTACACTTATCGGCACGCATCTCTATTGCATCTTTGTTAACTCGGTCTATTCATCTGCTTTTTGACCTTCCAGGTGGTCTTTTGTCTACTATTGAGACATTTATTTTCTTGTAAAAGCTTTTAAATGAATAACTCCGAGCTACATGCCCAGCCCAACTTAACTTACTTGCCTTCATATCATGTGTTGTTGATTGACCAGTTTCAGTAAACAGCTCTTTATTGGTCTTTCTTCTCCATATTTTAGTACTCTGATACCAGATTTGACTGGTTATCGTGTTAAGAATTTTTCTCTCAAATCATTCAACACTTTTTTCTAGGATGTTGTTAGTGTCTGGGTCTCACAGCCATATATTAGAACTGGCTTTATTATAGCATTTTATACCCTTTATTGGTTTATTATTTTCAATAGTCAACCATTATGATCAACCAAACAATTCAAAAACTTAACCCCCTCTCAAAATTTGAGGTTTCACGTTTCAGGATACGTAGAACTCGAAAATCGAATAAAATTTTTTTTGTCCGTCCGCGCATTTTCTCCGAAACTACTGGACCGATTTTTTTCTAATTTGGATATAAAATCAGAGGTCAACCGAGGATGATCCTCCTTCATCGACATTATTATCCGCCTTTTACTTCCAAAATGGCGACCGAAAAACTTGCGTTGCTATAGACTGTAGCGCCTAAAGGAATGTACCGATTTCAATGAAACTTCGCTAATCTTAATTTTCTCTACGCTCTTTAAATTTATCTATACAACATACTTCAACGAAAAGAAGCTGGAAAAAAAGTTACGAGGGTTGGTAAAATTAAATTCCGAATAACTCAAAAAATTTACACCTTTTGTAGATAGTGGTTAAAATGGTTTTTTTAACGAAATTTCCTAAAAAACAAAAAAAAAATCGTTAAATTTGGACAATTAAGAGCAAAGATATGGTCTCCGGTTTTTTAAAATATGTTCTACTCCAAATGTTATATCCTTCGTTAGGTTTTTAAATTTTGAATGTGTTACTGATGTAATGCTTTTTTTTTTAGCATATTACCAATGAATAAAAAAAAAAGTTTAGTCCAATAATTGGAATAACCTTTTATTGATTTTTCTTTGTAACTATGAAGGTAATGTTACTTTAGAAGTATAATTGTCTGGAAATAATTAACCATTGTGGAATAATTTGCAGCGTTTTTTGTTTTGTCTTCGTTTACTTGTAGAAGGATTTGCTCTGTTTCTTTTATCAGAGTCTTGGTGAGAGATTTCTTTTTATATGAACTGTAAATCAAAATGTACGAACCAAAATGTATTCGTAGGAATGGAGAAAGAGAAGCTTAGAGGATAATTACAAGGAGCCATAGAGCGCTCTCTTGAGTAATATCAAGTAACTCGCCTGTAAGTGACAGTTCCCCTTCTCCTCGAGAACGAATGTTCCTTAAGCCATTCATCAAATCATTCCTCCAATGGGGCAGGCAGCCATTTGGGATCTAATGAAAGTTATGTATATTATTAAAATAATTAATATTAATATTATCTCATAAAAAATAAAGCAACAAACACCGTGGATACTGAGGACAAGTTCCTAAACTCATTTATGATTCCATAAATAGTATTCAGCACGTTATTCTAATCATGGATTGAAGCACCAATGGCTCAGCGATTCCATCGGCTTTTGAGGTTGATTGATCCGCCGGATATAACCTTATTTTAACCTATTTTATTTCTCAATTTAATTGACATACTTATATCCAGTTAACATTTTATCTAAATTCATTTCTGTTTTGAAATTAAACATTTCCTTATCATTTTTTTTTATTTCGTGTATTTCTAAACCTTTCAGGAGTGTTAAATCCCCACTAAAATCTAGTAGTTCGTTCCCAAATTCAGCATCAATCACTTTCCATGAATGTTGGATTAAATCAATTGATGGATTCCTTCGATGGCATTAACGGTGGGTTTAGGAAAAGCCATGTTTAAAGTATTGCGTAGAATATTCGGACCAAAGAAGGATAAGTCAACCGGAGAATTTAGACGGTTACACAACGCCATATTTGCGTGAACTGTACACAATGAAAAAATTAAAATAATTAAATTGTGAAGAATAAAATTGCGATGTAAATTTGTTGGGCTTAGTAAGGAAAGATATCCCTAAAGATTATATGCGCTGTGTTGACTGGTAAGCGTCCGAGGGGTAGACTGAAGTGAAGATGGGAAGATTGTGTTCAAGCTGAACGGGTAGGATTTGGACGGTGGGCGGTGGAGAAGGTGTGTAGACAGCGATTGGTGTTATCGGGATAGAACCTTTGGGTTCGCTAAGAATTATAACTATTACTTTTTCTAATGACTTTTATTAAGGATGTAATAAAAATATAAGAATAGAAATTGGGATCTATCACTTTCTTTTGACACCGAATCAATATCCATCCTTTATAGAAAGCAGGATATGTGATCTATTCTACCGCATTGTCAATAAAGTTGATGATAACAAAGGCTGAATCTTTTGAAATAATTCGAGATCATAATACTAAAAAAAAATCTGATGCGCGCAACACACAACTTTCACTTACCGCACTACTTTGAATGGAAATTATTTTCTGGCAATGCTGGGCTTTTATAAAAATTTTTGAAGTGCATTTTAAACGGAGCTTAAAGCTTACAGATAACAAGTCATTAGGACCATTAAAATTATAAAATGTCTATTTAATATATCGACGGTAGGCAATAAAAATCTAGTCACTCCATCTGCTTTTATAAACCACACAACTTTCTTTGCTTTTATAAACAACAGAATGACTAACTCCAATTTCAACATTTTTGAGTGATGTCATTTCAGTGATATTTTTAGTTGAAAAAGTTATCTATGCAGACAATGAGTAAGTTGATTCAAGAGGTAGTGATTGCAGCATTGAAATATAGAACTGAGAATAAAGGTACTTATTTCTAAAATTTAGGTATTTATAAAAGTAATTTAGGTAATTATTTCTTAGGAAAGATACTTTATGAAATATCTATAGAAAAAGGGTTTTTTTAGACTCAACAATTAAAGAAGTATATTTTAAATTTATCCAAATTTTCGCCTCTTCAGGGAAAAAAACTAGAGACCATATCTTTCCTCCTAATTGTCCGATTTTAACGACTTTTTTTAGGAAATTCCATAAACTTTTAAAAAACCTTGTTAAAAGTACTTTAGAGGAAAACATATATGAACATTGGGCATTTAAGCCCTATAAAGTGACATCAACGAGGATAAGACCTAAATGATATTAAAGACCACTTAATTATACAATGAGTTTAATCAAAATCGGTAGAATCGTTTTTGAGAAAAATGTGCTTCAGCGTTCGTATAAAGTGGCTCTTCCGGGTAGCAGATTTTAACAAAAAAAAGTTGCTGTCACATCCGGCCCATTTACAAACCTTAAATACTTAATATCAGTTTCGTACTACTTTTCGTTTATGAGCTAGACTTTTAACACACACACACAGACCATTTGCGACACTTGGTTATTTGGACTCAGGGGACCTCAAAACACGTATTTCCGTTCAAAACTGAGATTCGAAAATTTTCACGATCACAATACTTACCCTTACTATATATTACATATATACCATTTCTGGCATACGAGAGGATTGGCCTAGAGGTGCAATAAAACTAGTGTTGCCCAAAATCGGTCTTGGTCAAGACCAAGATCGCCTAACTGTTGCTGGACCCAGAACTGGTGAAAATAATCGGTTTTTAAGTAAAAATTTAGGCAAAATAGTTACTAATGCATGACAATCTTAGTTACTTCATGTTAATAATTGGTATAACCAATATACTTTTGCATTTAACACCTCTGATTTTTCATTCGGGTTTAATTAGGTTTTTCCTATCTAAAAATCTAAAAATTACAGCAATATCTCTATAGTAATAAGTTAATAAGTAACTGGAAGACTCCTGCGCAAGACTAAGATCATGGCCAAGACTAGTTTGTAAGACCCGCCGCGGTCTCGCATTTGGAGAACACTAAATAAAACCTACTCTAATCACAGTGGGAAGGTCGAGATATATTCCGCGGCTTTAGATAACTATATGGACAGACCTACCTCCTTCTTCGTGGACCCCTTCCTCCTGAGCGATGTCTTCGGCGTGGCCCTCAAGGACTCCCTGAAGACGGTCCTGTCCTTCCTGGAGCCAGAGGCCCTGGACAGGGGACAGCCGCAGAGGTGGTCCCCTTCGGCCTCCATCCGCGCCCCGACTCCGCTGCGGCCCGCCCCTCCCCCCGCCGTCACACCCCCTCCCCCGCTGTCTGTTATCACTCCTTATCTCTGTTCCCGCGCGCGCCCTCTATACAGCTGTCACCGGCCCTTTTGACGTCTATTTACACCAGTATAGATTTATTGTGTCCTTCGTGCTACAATAGAGCTCTCGGCTTCCAATGCGATAAACTATTAAGTTTGAACTAAATAAACTATTAAGTTTGAACTAAGTAAACTATTAAGTTATATAAGTAACTGTTAAGTTATATGATGAGAGAACTATTTATTAATAGATGTATTAGTACTACTCAACTCGGTGTTATGACACAAGAACATAATCCCCAAAGCAAAAAAATATATATCCACAATAGTACAGTATTGAGTATATTGCCCAAAATCGGCCGTCTAACCGTTGCAAGACCAAGAATAGAACTGGTAAAAAAAAAATCTATTTTTTGAATAAAAATTAAGGAAAAATAATTTCTGATACTTGACAATCTTAGTTACTATATTTGGTATCAGTTACTATACCAATGGTATTAAATAATTGGTATAACCAATATAATTTTGCATTTACCTCCTCTTATTTTTTATTCATGCTTAGTTAGATTTCTTTTATCTAAATAATTACAGTAATATCTCTACAGTAATAAGCTAGTAAGTAACTGCAAGACCGTTGCGTGTCTCTTGTGCAAGACCAAGACCATGACCAAGACATAGTTTGCAAGACCAAGACTCGTCTCGGTATCGTATTTGGACAACACTAGTACTGAGCATTATGACATAATATGGGTCAGAAACGTGGAGCTTAAAAAGCAGCCTCAGGAAGAAACATCTAGCCACAAAAATGGACTACCGCAAATGTGCGGCAGGAATACTCAGAATGGATACAGTGAGAAATACGACCATCAGAGAAAAGATGGAGGCTAAAAGAACCATTCTGAAAGAGATTGAGAAAAAACGCCTGAAGTGGCATGGACATTTAAAATGAATGCCTGAAGGAAGACAACCCAAAGCAGTCCACTTATAGAAAACTAGGGAAATAAGAAGAAGAGGATGACCAAGGAAGACCTGGGATAACGAAGTGGAGGAATCCATGGTGGGTCATAGTCTACGGGAAGAATGGACCTTAGATAGGACATTATGGAAAGAAGCCATCCAAACACTTAAGGTTAAGAAAATCCACTATTAGTGGAAACACCTAATAAAAAAATAAGTAAATAAAAAATACTATTTATTCTCTTACAGGCATCATTACTTACTCAATGTTATAATTACAATATTATACTATTTTTAATACATTAATGCAATAATAAATTTCATAATAAAAAAATTACATGTACAAACACGATTATTATTTTAATAACAAATTATTATTTTTAAAAAAACATTTTACAATTTTATTTCCTATATATATATTTATCTCTTTCGGTTTGTCATTGGTCAAGCCCATGTAATGGAAATATCATCTATTACCGTTAACTCAATTTTCATGGACCGTGCGGATTGGTAACTAGATGGTCCGTTATCAATTTTATCAAATTTTCACTACTTTTGCTAACGTTGCCTAAATTTTCTTGAAATACAAATATTTCAAAAATGATAATTTCCCTTTGGCTCAAAATTAAAAAATATGCTATATTAATTTCTTCCTATTATGTTGCATAATTAAAATTAAGGTACGTAAGTCGCTGATATGGCTTGATCCAGATAGATGCCTGTCCTTTCATCCAGACTAGTGTTGCCCAAAATCGGTCCTTACTGTTGCAAGACCAAGACCAAGTGTGGTAAAAAAATCGATTTTTCGAATACAAATTGAACAAAATAGTCACTAATAATTGACAATTTTAGTATAACACTATATGTAAAGAATTAGTATAACCTATATACTTCTGCATTTAACTCTTCTAATTATTCATTGAGACTTAGTTAGATTTCTTCTAGAAATATAAAGTAATATCTCTATACTGCAAGACTCTTGCGCAAGACCAAGACCAAGCCCAAGAATGGATGCGCAAGACCAAGATTCGTCTTGGTCTTGCATATGGGCAACACTAATCCAGACCCATCACAACCCACTTATTTCCCACCTTTCTTCTTTCTGGATTCCTAACAATCCTCCTCATCGTCTGAAAATAAGATGGCCTCGAGATCATTACTAGTTAGCTATTTAGCGAATACTCTTATCGGGTAGTATCAAAAGAGTGTTATTGTTCAAATTTACTAGTTGTATTTATTTATCACAGTTGTAGTTTTCAATAAATAAATAAAAATATTACAGTAACTAATTGCAAAGTATATTTATTAACTATATTTATTGAGAGATATTACAATCTGTCACAAATAAGGACATTAATAATAGTGTTCAGAGAGCACATTCACGCTCTATCAACAATAAATAATACAGGAAAAACAATAATAATAAAAGTAAATGTATCTAATCCAACCCAAACAAAAATAAACTAAACTAATAAAAACAACTTGTAAAGTATATAACGGTTGTGAAAAGTGGTGGGCGTTGAATATAAAAAAAAGAGAGGTAATATTTATTTAAGGTTAAAAATTTTTAAGCAGGACCTTCACTGCCGTTGATAAAATTTTTAGAAATTGTGTGAGTTGATACTTTAGATGGTCCGACGTCGATTTTATCTAATACTATCGATTAGATTAGATTAATTTTTTCTCTTAGGCCTGCATTTTTTCTTGATAGGACTATACTAAAGATAACCTCTTCCGCAGATATTATTCTCAATCGGCAAATGACAGACCTCGAAATATATGTAATTATGAAGCCAATAAAAGCAGTGGGGAAGTTTCATTAATCCTAAAACTTAAAAAAAAAATTAATTGAATGCCTTTTTTGGAGACATCCAGTTATGAACTTTCACTAAAAACTAATGAGGAAAATTAAGAGCGCACTTCCTGTTCTAATTATAATCAATTATAGTTTCTTCCTGTACGACTGCTAAAAATTAAATTAATATTTATTTCTAACAGTTTTTTGTATTTTTACTTATTAATTATATTTGCAGATGAGCAAAGAATTAGCTAGTAGCATATTCGACTCTAGCAAGATATTTTTTATTCGTGTTTTTTAATTAATCTGCATCATTATTAGTGACAGATTTTTTTCTATTTGTAATTACGAATCAACCTTGGGGAACACGCAACATCTATAAAGTGGGTACTTTCTACAACATTGTTAAGTTTGGATGACGACTATATCATCTACTTCTATAACGTGTTAGCAAGAAAAAATGAGTATTCACTAATCATCAAACCAAAGATCGTTTGTAGAAAATAAATAAATTAAATCACTAATAATAAAAAATGAAAATTTAACTATTATAAACATAATCATCAAGAAATACATTTAAAAAAATCTAAGGTAAAATTAAAAAAAAAAAAAAAAAAAAATAAATATATATATATATATATATATATATATATATATATATAATGACAAATAAAAAAGAATCACCATGTCAACTTTCAATCATTTACTGAAAAAAATTTAATTTTGTTTAAAATTATGATTTTTTTCAGTAAATGATCAGTTTCAGAATTATATTAATAGTTCCTCACAACTTTCAGTTTTAGTTGCTTATGGACTTTCGGACTGAAGACCTCCAAAATAGAAAAATCATTATTATTTTATTTTTAATGGCTCACATTTGTTTCTATGTATGATCTAAGCTACTTACTTAAACAATCACAATATTTTCTATTCTTAAATTATAATCTTTATACTTCAGCCACTAAATATAAGCTGGTTTCAAGAAAAAATATAATGATTTGATCTCTAAAAGCGTTATATAATTAATTAAATACTTATATATTGTCCTCCCTCTCCTTTCCCCCTCTCCAGAGAAAAGGTAGCCATATTCTATATAACATCAAAGTATAAAATTTTAATAGCAACACTTATTTTTAAAGCTAATAATTAATATTCTTTCGTCATCTTACTGGTTAAAAAATTATAAATTATCTTTTCTTATATTCCTTTTTTTTTAATTTTCTGAGGGGGGGAGGTACAAGAAGATCTTCAGGGCCCCCCTCATCTCCGGAAATACTTATCTGCACCCATGTCAGTATTTTATCTTATAACAATGGCATTTCGAGAGACGTGTTTAAACCTAGCGGCAACAGGTGGCGCCTAGTTTCGTGATAAGAGAGAGGGGGGCTGCATAGAGCTTAGTATTAATTAATGTAAAACATAGTTAAGATAAATTAAACATTGAAAAATATTTTTAAAAAATCAAATAGTTCTAATTACCCGAAAACGGCGATGCCAAAAATAGGGTTATGTGTTTAGAATGACTACTTGTGTGTATGTTTTTGAGCGAACGGTAATAAGACAGCTCAAATTATTTAATGAGATCCTCTGAATGTTTTGAAACAATTTAGGCTCAAAACATTTGTGATTTGCTGTATTAAACATATTCAAACTTGTACCATTGAAGGAATGTTAGGTTTCACACCACGCGGTACGGTCTCATATCTTATAGTATGAACTTTCTGAGATTGCTGTTGTTTTAGTTACAACTACAACAACAACAATCTCAGAGAGTTCATACTATAAGACAGCATTGAACAAAATGATTTATACAATTCGCACAAATAGATAGTGATTCCCGTTTCGCAATAGCCTCAAAGAATGTTCGATATGATGAAATCGCCTATATTCGCGATTATAGTTATGACTGCTTCGAAGAAACTAAAATGAATGTTGTTTCGTAAAAAAAGTAATCGTTAAGGAAATTAGTCGTAATGGAAGGAATCCCAAGGACTTCCTGCGGCTTATTATCTCAACCAACAGTCTTCGTCGGTTCTGTAAATACATTAACCAATCATATCCACAGAATTTATTGTCGGATCTAAGTAGCTGGAACGAGTTTGAAATGTTAGAAAAATCTTATAGAATAAAAAATAAAGTATCAATTTTCTATATAAAGAAACTAGTTGATTCAGTATAGCTTCCTCAATAT